CACACACACACACACACACACACACACACACACACACAACAACCAACACCACCCTGTGGAGTAAAAGTGCACCATACATGCGACCTCTCCCTCTTCTTCCCTCCCCCAGGCTCTAATCCTGTTGGGCCTGTCCACGGTCCCGATGTACTGTGGACCTACTGTGTAAGTCTCACTCCCTTTCTTTGTCCAACCACTGCTGAGAGCCGCAGGCCTGAAAACGTCCCCGCCCCCCTGCCCAACCAAATATATTGATAATTATGTCTCTCCTCCCAACTTTCCAGTTCCACTCTTCGTTCTTTGTGCGACACTTTGGCACTGTGGTGAAACGCTTGAGTTCTGGTTCACTCAATTGATTTTATATGTGAGTTACTCTTTTGACTATGATCAGAGACACTAAAATATATATTAAATACTCTCTGCTATGATTAAGTAAACTACATAGGCTACATCATGTATGTTGCCAAACTGGCTCTGCTTATTTCCCGATTAAAAGCTCTGATTCTGAACAGGCCAAAATGACTTGCCAATGAAACAACTGAAGTTTCATTTTTTTTTTTTACACCGGTGTAGCGGTCACAACGGAACGTTCTCGTGTGCACAAAGAAAAAGTATTACGATACTTCGGGATTTTCCAGACATAAAAATAACAATCTTCAGTCTTGGCCAAGACTCAGTAAGTCTTACCACTCTCTGGTCTTACCCAAGACTTAGTAAGACAAGACGGGACAACTCTTCTTTACGTCATGTGACAAGCGCAGGCCCCTCCCACTTTGCCAAATGCGCGTATAACTCGCTGGGCTTGCGATAGTTTACTTTGGTTAGAATGCAAGGCTACTGATCATCTCGGGCGGTATGTCTAGCCTAGGCCTACTAAAATTAATATATTTTAGCCCAGAGAGAGTATTTAATTAATAAACGTAGCCTATCTAGATCTAGATCTAGAAACTAGGATCTAGATCTAGATTCAGATTCTAGAATCTAGATATATCTAAATCTAGATCTATATCTATATCTAGATCTAGATTCTAGTTCTAGAATCTAGGTCTAGATTTTGTTGTGCAACCAGCCAAGAGTGCAGTTCGGAAAGTAGATCTATAATCTAGCTCTAATCTAGATCTAGATCTAGATTTAGATTCTAGATCTAGGCCCCTAGTCCTAGTGGTTGGCGAATGACCGAAGTGTCCGAAGGGCGACTCTTGACTAGGCTAGGCCTAGGCTACGTCCCTGTAAATTGGCGGAGACACACTAGATCTATCATGCAACTTGATTCATACTATCATATCAACAGTAGATGTAGATCTAGAAATCTAGATCTACTTAAGCTTCTGTGCTTGTTTCAATGGCTTCTTTTTCGGTGCACCTGTACAATTATATGGTCCCGTTTAATGTTTACATGACGGCCATTATTGTCATGAGGCAGTGAATCTAGAAT